CCGAGGACATCCCGGCACTCACCTCCCCATGGACACCACGTAGCGAGGCTCTGGCATCTGGTCATAGACCTGCAGAACAGGGATGTTTGGGGTGATGCCCACCTCCCCACGCCGTGCCCAGCTCCCCGTGCTCCCCGTACCTTGCGCAGCGCCGGGGCCATTTTGTTGGTCAGGGTCCCTGCCACGATCATGACATCGGCCTGGCGGGGGCTGGCCCGGAACACGACCCCGAAGCGATCCATGTCGTAGCGAGGGGCTGCCATGTGCATCATCTCCACGGCACAGCAGGCCAGCCCGAAGGTCATGGGCCACAGGGAGCTCTGTGGGGACAGCCAGCAGCTCAGGGACAGCGTGGGTGACACGCACAAAGGGAGAGTTCGAGGTACCGGGGGATGGAGACGGGGAGAGCTCCGTGAGCAGCCTGAGCGTGTCCAGAGCTGCTGCCCTGACATGGCTAAAGCCACCTCAGAGCCACCCAGGGACAGCAGGGAAGGGACAGCCATGGGGACAGCGGTGTCCCAGCTCAGGGACAGCTCAGAGCCCCACGGGGACAGCGGTGTCCCAGCTCAGGGACAGCTCAGAGCCCCACGGGGACAGCGGTGTCCCAGCTCAGGGACAGCTCAGAGCCTCATGGGGACAGCAGTGTCCCACCTCAGGGACAGCCCAGAGCCCCATGGGGACAGTGGTGTCCCAGCTCAGGGATAGCAGAGAAGGGACAGCTCAGAGCCTCATGGCCAGAGAGGGACCAGCCCAGCTAAGGCAGAGCACAGCAGACCCAGGGCACTGTCACTTGTGTCACCCTTCCCCACAGGCAGAGCAGCTGCTCAGGGCAGGGACAGCTCCAGAAGTGCCTTTCCCTGGCGACCAAAGGGCAGTTCCAGACCCCCCACACACCCTCAGTGCCTTCAGCCTGTGTCCCTGACTGTCACTGGACCCCAGTGTCACCCTCTGGCCGCAGAACTCGGCCACGGGAGCTCTGAGCCTATTTTTATCCTGAGCAGGGGGTGCCTCTGATGTGCCACCCTCTGTCCCTCATGCCAGGGAGGCTCGGGACTCACCCGCCGTGCCCAGTTGACCAGGTCATCGAGCTTGGTGATGACGTACTCGCCACGGCTGCTGGGGACGTAGGATTTCCCCTGGACAACAGCAGAGCTCTTCTGGACCTGGACAGAGCTGGAAGGAGCAGCACAGAACCATCACTCTCCAGTGATTTCCCTGCAGAATCAGCATTTAGCCCTCCACGGGGCTGTGACTCCCTGAGGAATGACAATGCCACCCCTCTGTTTGTGGCAGAGGAATCTCCCCAGTGTGGGATTTGTGGCTTTGGTGCTGGGACAGAGCCCCTCACCACAGAGAGCCCCTGGCTGCCTCTCCCCGGGGCTCCCAGAACTCCCCGGATTTCAGCAGGGAAGGGAGGAGACCCCTCACAGGAGGTGCCACTGGGACCCCCCTGTCCGGGAATGGTGGCACCACCGGCTGTGCCCTGTCCCCAGGGCAGGAGCTCTCACCTGTCAGCGCGATCGGCCGCCGGCGTCTGATGGAGCAGCTGAGCGTGCACGGGACTCACAGAGCCGGGCCTGGGGACAGAAAGGCCCGCACAGGGTGACAGGGTGACAGAGCCCAGCGCTCCACAAAGCCCAGGGGGAAGGAGCCCCCCGACCCCCAGAGCTCGGGGTGCCCTTCAGCCGCGGTCCTGGGGTCCCCCCACCCCATCACCCCAGCGCCGGGGTCAGCGCTGTCACCGGCCCGGCCTCCCCTGTTCCCGGGGTCCCACCGCCCCGGTGCCCCCCGCCCGGCGCTCACCGCCAGCCCAGCACACCGTGCGCGGGGAGCCGGAGACCTGCAAGAGAGGACGGGAGAGCTCAGCGCGGCCGCGGGGGCGGCAACGGCCTGGCGCCCCCTCAGGGCTCCCCCCGGGTCACTCCCTCAGCGGAGAGCCGAGGGCTTGTTTCGGTGCCCCCAGCCCGGTCCCGGTGCCCATCCCCATCCCCGGCCCGGTCCCCGGTCCCGGCCCCGCTCACGGCCCAGCGCCGCCATCGCTCCGCAGCCCTTCAGGCAACCTCTGCGCGCGGTGCACCCGCTAAAGGGCCCCGCGCGGCACCGCCTCAGCGCTCCGGCGGGAAACGCGTCCCGTGCGAGCGGTTCCGGAGACAACCTCCTGCTCCGCCGCGGCCCGCGGGAAAACGATCCCAAAAGGGCCCCAAAACGATCCCGCCACGGGACTCGGCGGGAAGGGCTCGTCCCGAGGCTGCGGAGCCAAAGTCATGCAGGAAAACAAGGAGCGGCCGTCCCTGGGTGGGCTCGAACCACCAACCTTTCGGTTAACAGCCGAACGCGCTAACCGATTGCGCCACAGAGACCGCGCTGCCGCCGCCTCCCGCCTGCCCCGTGTCCCGCCCGTCCCGTGTCCGGTCCCCGTGTCTCACATCCCGGCCCCGTGTCCCGCCCGTCCCGTGTCCGGTCCCCGTGTCTCACACCCCGGCCCCGTGTCCCGCCCGTCCTGTGTCCGGTCCCTGTGTCTCACATCCCCGCCCCGTGTCCCGCCCGTCCTGTGTCCCGTGCCCCACATCCCGCCCCGCTGTCCCCTCGTGCCCCCGCGTGTCCCTCCCCGTGTCCCCCCGCCCGGCGGGGCGCCGTCGGCGGTGACGGGCGGGGGGGGCGGAGCGCGGCCGTGCAGCCGAAATAGCTCAGTTGGGAGAGCGTTAGACTGAAGATCTAAAGGTCCCTGGTTCGATCCCGGGTTTCGGCAGAAGCTTTTTTTTTTCCCCGGCCGGGAGCGGAGTTGCAAAAGCGCTGTTTTCACCCCAAAACAGCCCCGAGGCTTCGGAACTCGTTATCCCCTCCCCAGACTCTGCTGTTGATTTTTTTAATATCCTGGAAACACACACACACAACAGGGAGGGACAAAGGCCTGTAATACTGGATTAATGATAAATATTAAATAATTATGAATTAATAATAAATACGAATTAATGATCTTACACTGAGCATTGAGGAGACAGCTGAGGGAACATGGATTAATTAACACTGGCCAACCACAAGCAGAGGTGGTGTGGGTCAGCCCATTTTAAATAAAGCACAAGAACAAAACCCAGCGAGTTCACTTCCCAGTGATTAATAATGTAGACTGAGACAGGATGTTACTTTATCATCTTTGTTTTTATGCATCAGATAAAGTATCTTCACCTGCTGTAACACTGGGGTGGAAGCACCACCCACCACAGATTAAAATAATTAAACAAAAGCAGCAAATGTTGATGATTCACTTCATCCCAGTTTATTAAGTCCGCACGATCCGTACACGGTGAGGCTGAGCCTGGAGCCCAGTACCAGGGGGGCAGCACTGAAGGGGGTGGGACAAGGTCAGCATCATCCCTGGAAGTGCCCAAGGCCAGGCTGGAGCACCCAGGGACAGTGGGAGGTGTCCCTGCCCCTGGCTGGGGTTTTTAAGTCCCTTCCACCCCAAGCATTCCAGGATTCCACAGCTGCAGTGAAGGCGGTGAGGTGGCTCTGCTTCTGTGTGGAGCAGGATCCGAACAGCACTCGAGGAGTTTGGATGGAGAAGGGAACACAGGGTTCATGTAAAGGAGGGGGAAGTTGAACTCCATCTCCAAATTACCCCAGAGCACTGGGATGAGGGGCAGGCAGTCCCTCCCCAGCCTCTCCTCTCCAAAGGGAAAGTGCCACTCACAGCTCTGAGTTAACTCCATCATTAATTTTTTATCCTATCCCACAAAATTCATTATCCCTCCTCACAGGCTTTAATAAAGCCTCACTTCCTGGCCTGTCCCTATAATTGAGGTACTTGAGATAACAGGAATAAGGATTCTATGGAAAAACTCATTAGAGAGCACAGAGCAATTAAAAGTGTAATTAAAATATATTCAGATAATTACTACAGCCAGGATAGACATCTGGATCCCAATTTCAACTTCTTCATTTCAAATCATCTTGGGTTTTATTGGACAAGCAAGGAGATCACATTTCATTATCAGAGAAACCCTAATCAGGGGGTTTTATGTATCATTTATCATTATTCATCATTAATTAGTTCCTGGTGACACTGCTTCCATGTGCCACAGCTCCAAAGGTAAGCAGGGAGCTGGGCAGGATTAAATTGGGAATTTAGACGAGAAAAAGACAATTAAAAGCCTCCCAAAATTCAGAGGAGGAAATAATCCAGCATTCCACTGGTTCAGTTAGAAGAAATGTTTTTTTTTTAAGCAAACCTTGATTCCTTCCCCACGGAATTTTACTTGTCATAACAAAAGAAGAACCCAAATCTTTGTCATCCAGGTGGCAGCTCTGATTTCCCACCCTTGGATCCACGAGGCAGGAAGGAGGAACCCCCAGGAGCCTTCCCCACCAGGAACCCCCTGGTTTGATCAGGAGCAAGGAGCCCACCAGGCACCACAAAGCAGGACAAGATCCCTTCCCAAGTCGGGTGTTTGGCTAAAAGAACCCACGTGGAAGACGGTGGAGCAGCAGAAGCTCTGCACAGCCCTGGGGGTCTCTGGCAGCCCCCCAGGAGGGCACTGATGGATGAGGATCCAGTGGATCCAGAACACAGTGAGGCCATGGAAGCAGCAAGGGCGGAACCCCCAGGAGCCTTCCCCACCAGGAACCCCCTGGTTTGATCAGGAGCAAGGAGCCCACCAGGCACCACAAAGCAGGACAAGATCCCTTCCCAAGTCGGGTGTTTGGCTAAAAGAACCCACGTGGAAGACGGTGGAGCAGCAGAAGCTCTGCACAGCCCTGGGGGTCTCTGGCAGCCCCCCAGGAGGGCACTGATGGATGAGGATCAGGCAGATCCTGAACACGGCAATGCCAGGGGAAGCAGCAAGGGCTGGGAGCAGAGGATTTGGGAACATACACACAGATTTTACAAAGAATGCCACGTTTTACACAAATCACCACTGGTTATTTACACCTGGCCCCAGGACAGCCCCGGCCACTCCTCAGCTCTCCACAGGCTTACAGACTTTACAAAGAATGCCACGTTTTATACAAAGCACCACTGGTTATTTACACCTGGCCCAGGACAGCCCTGGCCACTCCTCAGCTCTCTGCAGGCTCTGGCTCAGTCTTGAGCTTTTTGCTTCCCAGGATTTGTTCATCAAACAACTCTCTCTCTCTGGAAAGAAAAATATAGAAGGTTTGAAGTTAAAACAGGATATTATTGTCCAGATTACATCACCAGGACAAATTAAATTCACAGGGTTGGAGCAGCTCAGCTGGGACATTTTCCACATTTTGTCTCTCAAAGGAGGAGGATGCTGAGCTCTCATGCCCTCACCTGAAACCTTTTCTGTATCCAACAACAAATGAGTAAAAAACCCTTGGAAAATCCTAAAATAATCTACCTTTTGCTCACAGGTGGTCCTTTAATGTACTTCTCTTCTGCCTTCTCATAATCAATGTCATCCACGGCAGCAATGGCACAGATGATGGCCTAGAAAAGCATTAAATAGTTAATAATCAATAAGCAAAACTAAACCATAGCCAGGGATTTGAAAGTGCCTCAGCTGAGCATGTTTTGAAAAAAAGGTTCCCCAGTAACTTATAAAATTTGGATGAAACTGCTCACTGAGCATCTAAAATTCCTAAATAAAAAATATGAAATTGTTCTGTATCATCCCCTGGGGGGTATTTTTATCCTCAGATTAAAATATTCTTCACAGTAATTTTGTTTCTATACGAGTTAATGTTCTCCTGGGAAAATTCCTGGGAAGAACACAAGGTATCCACAACAACTAACAACAGCCAACATACCACCCCCCACCTCGACACACACAAAGGACCAAGAAAACCCTGAGAAGTTGCCAAATTAAAATAAAAACCCCAAAACAAAGCTTTGAAGCATTTCAGGGGTAATTAAAATACATCAGAAAACTATCAGTGTGCTTTTAAAAACAACAATCTACCTGAAGCTTCTCCTTTCTGTGCTTAAAAACCAGCATTTGAGTGACTCAGGCTGTAGGCAGGGGTGAATATTCCTGCCTAGCTCAGTTCTGGGAACTCTCTCCATGTCATTCCACAAGAACCACGTCACACAAAGGAAGAAATAATTGGAATTAGTGTCATTTACCACTCTGCAGTTCATTCTTCCCCCTCCCTCACCTCAGGTAAAAGCACATCTGAGATGAATCTGATGCCATCCCCCAGGATCTGGTGCAGGTTCTTGGTGTCCATCTCCCTGTACACCTCCTTCAGGTACCCAGCCACCAGGTCCAGCTGCTCCTCATCCTCCAGGTAAGTCTCCACACAGGTCATGTACCGGCTGGAATTCAGGAATTTCTTCAGCCAGCGGGATTGTTTCCCACTTTTCAAGATGCCCAGCAGATGCTCTTCAGCCCCTTTGGTCTTCACTATGAACTCCACCAGCTTCTTGTTCTCCCTGTCCCTGGCAGCTCTGGTCCTGTCAGGGAGGAGCTTCCTCGGGGGTTTCTGGGGGGAGGTGTCTGAGGAAGACTGTCCAGCCTCTTCCTCCCCTGTGTTTGGGAATGCCATCTGCACCACACTCTGGTATCCCTCTTTCCTCACTGGGTAGCCTGAAAGAGAAACCACAAGAATTTATACTTAAATGTACAAAGAGGTTTTTTTTTCATAGCTGTATCATTAGAAAATAAGGAATTTTATTGCTGAGAGGAGTTTTTACCTAGCCAAGAGAATTCCCAAAGGGATGGATTCACTTACTGATATCAGCAGCAAAATACTCCAGGAAGGATCCAGTGAAAGAATGACAGCCTAAAAACCCAAACAGGGACAGAGATCAGTTCCAGTCACCCAGGAATCAAAGCTTGGTGTTCCCTTTTCCTGCTGGATCTCAGGATGAGATCCCAGAGAAGCTGGGAGTGTCCAAGGCCAGGTTGGACAGGGCTTGGAGCACCCTGGGACAGTGGAAGGTGTCCCTGCCCATGGCAGGGGGGCACTGGATGGGGTTTAAGGTCCTTCCCACCCAAACCATGCTGGGATTTGGTGATTTCATGGTCACCTTCCCCTCCTTACCCACTCGGATCCGATAGTCCCGGATCAGCTGGAGGCACCACTCGATTTCCCTGGAATAGTTCTCCTTGGCTCGTTCCTGCAAAACAAGGAGGATTTTCTGTCCCAAATCCAGCAGCTCTCCAAGAGTTTCAGCCCAGGATGCCAAGCAGGGGACAAAAAATGGTCCATGGTCATTTTTTCCTCACAGTAAAACAACTCCTGCCAGAGCTGTCACAGGGATGAGAGTGGCTTTGAGGGGGCCAAGCCCCACGCTGCCCCCCTGGCCATTTATATCCTGAACTTCCCACTGTATTTGCCCAAGTCCTGCAGTTCCACATCTCTGGGATACTCACAATGAGATTCTGCTTCTCCTCACAGTCAAAGTGTTTCAGGCTCTTCAGAGACACTGAAAAACTTTTAAAGAAACACAGTCAGAGGTGCAACTCAACTGCCCCATTTCCCTGCTGATTTACTGCAGCTCTGCTTCTCCCTGAAAATCCCACTTCCCAAGGAATTAAGGAGCACAAATTTTAATGTTTTTTACTTCCACAGCAAGTATGGAATCTTCTAACAAATGAGAAGTACCTGGTTTAGAGAAAAGTTAAAGGCAGCCCAGTGTTTCCAGAAAGTTCAGGCAGCACAAGGAAAACACTGGCTGCATTCCAGGGGATTTTTTTTGTTTTGTTTTTGACTCCTCAGCTCCTCCCAGGGACTGGGAGCTGCCTCAACCTGCAGCATGACAAAGCACCTACAACCCTCACCTGCCCCAGCCCCTCCCTCCCAGATCAACCTGGAGAGGACTGTCCTCCCCCTGCACCAGGAAAAGGGCACAGGACATGGAATAGCAGAGACTGGAAATTCAGGATGGGATGGAAATCCACATTTACCCTTTTTTCTTCTCATTTGTGGTGCCATCTATGAAGAGCACACAGGCCCTCCGGTGCTTCCTCTTCACTGTTTTTACCTGGAGAGAGGATAAAGCCTCAAAAATCCTAATCTTGTTAAAGCAGGGATATTTTTCTGTGGATATCACCCACTACAACCCACACTTGAATTTTTCCTGTTGCTGTAACTTTGCTTTATTACACAAATATAAAAAAACTCAAGCAGAAACAGCAACCAGTTCCCCCAAGGGAGTATTTTTAGTGCACAAAGGGCTTCTCCTTTCTTTTGCAAATTGGGAACAAAGTCCTGCTCCACGATAAAAGAACTGGGATAGGCCTGTGCTCTGTACAAACAGGTGTGAAGTGACCACATTTTGAGTGCTTTTAGCACAAATTGACTTCTATCAATTTTGAAATGCTTCTACTGGAAGGTCTTTTAACACTTCCAGGAAGGGCAAAAGTCACTCCAGAACTGGGAGTTGCTCCTTATCAGCAGGCTGTGAGGTGGCAGGAGCTGCTCTTACCACTGCTGGCCAGTACGGATACCGCCGCAGCTTGCACCACACCAACATCCCTTCCTCGAAGAATTTGGGTTCTGGTGAAAAAGAAGGGAAATTTTCCTTAAAAAACATTTAAAAAATAAAACAAGACAGATGCTGCCCCTTTCTTTTTTTCCTCCAGGAGAAACTCCAGGAGTTTCTCTTCAGTGCTTTAACAGTGACCCCAAAATGCAGCACAGGGAGTCCTGAACTGAAACCCAGCAACTTCAATCCCAGGCCCTTGTCCAGTTTCAGGAATTTTTTTTATTCTGCAGCAAAATGCCTGATGGACCCAGGAAATGCATTTGATCCCGAGCCTGGACACAGCTGGATTCCCTCCTGGAATCTCCAGGGACTGCAGGCAAACTGAAGCTCCCAGAAGGGGAAGAGCCTCAGCCCTGCTGATGTCTCACCTCGATGGGACAGAACGCTTGGGAAATCTTCCTCCTCTTCATCTGCCAGAGGTGAGAGTGGAGGGAGGCTTTCTGAGGAAACTCTCCTGGAAGACATCCCAGAGGGTTCCAGCCCTGCCAACAGCACCAGGATCCAGGGATTAGGACAGGATCAGCTTCAGAACAGGTGAGACACACCTGAGTGTGACCTAGAGGGGATCTGACACACCTGCACGCTTCTAATTAGAGAATCCTAATTCCCTGGTCATGTGGATAAAAGAGGGAAAGGGGAAAAGAATGGGGCTGGTCTCAGGACCCTGCACCTACTCATTCAAAAACATTTAATCTCCATTTATCAGAGAGCAGTAAGGGAAAACAAGTGTGAGCTCAAAAAACCCCCAGCTTTCCATGGAAAACCCCAAGCAACTCCAGACAACCCAAACACCACCCAAGCCCTCCCCAGCACTGAAGGGATCAGCATTTCTGCTTCCCAGGAATGGAAACCAAAAGGAATTAAAGCAGCAATTCAAGAGCCACTTCCCCAAAAACAAAGCAACATTCCAAGGTGAGTAACAGCGTTCACCACCCACACAGGATGAAGGTTTCCCTTCCCCAAGGGATTTGCCCACCTTCATCTTCCTCAGAGTCAGGGGCTTTATTCCCAGCCAGGTGTGAGGGATCCTGGTTTTCCTCCTCCTGAGGCTGAGGGAAGGCACCAGAAGGCCCAGGTGAGGATCCGGGGTGGTTCCTGCATTTCCTGTCTGTGCCTGAGGCCACACCTGCCCCATCCAGGTGTTTTCCACCCTCCGCCTCTCTCCTCCCATCCAGCTGCTTTGCCAGGCTCTCACTCTCACTGCTGATGCTTTTCTCCAACTCATCCGAGGCAGTTTCACAGGAGGAATCCAGGAATGTTTTCCCAGGCTGAGTTCCTGTCTTTCTGGAAGGTTCCACGGTGCCAGATTTAGAGGAGACAGAGGGAGACCCCTCCTCAGGAGCCACCTGTGCTTGATCCGGGGGGGAATCATCCCTACATCTTTTCCTTCCTTGCTGACTTCTTCCAGCCTCTGGCTTAAAGGAAACTCCATTCCCCATTTTGGGTTGGATTTTCCTCTGTCTGGGTGATGATTTTGGTTCTGGATTTTTGCAGTTGTGACTGTCAGGGGCTGGTGCCACACTCGAGTTCCTGGCACCACACCTGGCAGGGTTTGTGCCACTTCCAGGTGCTTTTCCACTCCCTCCTGGAGCCACAGGACCTCCCTGGCCGCGTGCTTTGGGATCATCCTTCAGCCCACAGTTATTCTGGGGTTTTCTTTTCCTCTTGGCAGCCTCAGGTTCCGACTTTTTAAAGCGAGAGCGCAACAAGAAGCTCTGGGAGGGGGTGGGTGGGGCACATTTCTCCCGGGAAAATTTGGGATTTGGTCCTTCTGCAGGTGGCATTTGATTGCTGGAGTTAGTCTGATGGAGAATATCCAGGGCAATTTTAAGGGAACAGCGATATTGCAGCTCCTCCACGGCCTCACTCATGCTTTTCTTTTGCTCTGATGAGGAAAAATATTCAATAAATGAAATGGTCCTCATTATTCTACCATAAACAAATGTATTACTAAAGAAATAATAAATGTTACTCGTAGTGTTTCTTTTAAGGTGCATTTTTTACTACTTAAATCATCCACAATTCCCAAGGCAAAGGATGGAGACACACAAAGACCAAGCTGGAAGTGCCTCATTTTGAGGGAAACTCACATTTCTTCACCATCCCTCCAACAAGCCACCCCAGGGAAGAAGAAAATGATAAATTTTTAACCCATTTTCCAACTTTATGGAAAAGGGGAAAAGAAAATAAGTGAAATACAGAAGTTTTATCCCCCCCAGGCTGGGTTTCTGCAGGTATTTTACACCCACAAAAGACACAAAGCAGCACATTTGGGCCCCTCCCTCCTCACCCAAGGTGGAGGCGATGTCCTTGATCCTCTCCTCTGTCAGGGGAACCACGTTTGCAGAGCTCACACTGACCCTGGAGCACAAAAAGGTGACTGGAACCGGCAGCAAAACACTCCCAGCACCACAAAACTGCTCTCAGACAGCAAAAACCCCAAACATTCCCTCCCCCAACCTGTCCTGGCTAGGGTTAAACTCCTAAACCTTCTGCAAATCCAGGATCCCATCTCACCGGCACCTTCAGATAAAAGGATTCCTTTCTTCCCCTTATGTTTTAACCTCTAAGAATGCAAACGTGTGATAGGAACAAGGATACTCAACTGCTTCTCCAAGCCAAGGATTTCAGCTTTCAATCCCATCCTTGTTGTGGTGGCAACAGGACTGCCCCCAGCAACTCCAGGTTTGCACAAAACCTGCAACAGAAGTGAGAAATCTTCATTTAAAATCTTGACCAACAGCAAAACGTTTATCTAAGAGCAGCTTGACGGTGCCTGGGAGCAGCTTTAAGATTGTGGAATGATAAAATCCCAGGATGGACCTGGGAAGGGATCTTCAATCCCATCCCAGCCGTGCCAAGGGCAGGGACTCCTTCACTGTCCCAGGCTTCTCTGAAAATCCATTCCAGGCCCTCAGCACCCTCACAGGGAGGAATTTTTCCCTAATGCCCCATCCAACGCTGCCCTCAGGCTGTGAGAAGTTATTCCCATCGCTCCAGGCCCTCTCCATTTTTCCTGTTGGTATCTCCACAGCTCAGACAAGTTCAGACACGTTTGCTGGGACCTCTCCCTTCCTTCCTGCTCTGTTCCAAGCAACCTCCACAAACATTTCCTCATTCCTCCTTACCTTGGCTGGCCACAAACGCCTCTTCCACTTGCAGAGAATGAACTCTTGGTCAGTCATGGCTGAGCTTCACGTGGAAAAGGGCAAGGTGTTCTGAGGGAGGAAAAAAAGGGAATAAAGGAGTCACCCACCTTTGTCCGTTGTGGTCTTTATTTTTTAAGGAAATACAGGATTTAATCAAACATATTACTACAGTCATTATTGTTTTACCTTCAGGATCACTGATATCACCCTGCAGCTTCTCTTTAATATTATATCTTAAATTCTATTTTTCTGTAGAAGCTGTGGCTGCCCCATCCCTGGAAGTATCCAAGGTTGGACAAGGTTTGGAGCAACCTGGGATAGTGGAAGGGATGGGACTGGATGGGCTTTAGGTCCTTCCAACCCAAACGATCCCAGGATTCATGAATTCCTTATTTCCAGGAGCACAAGTGGCTCTTGCTGTGTGAGGAAAATACTACCAGGAATTACACAACGCAGCCGTGGGCCTGCCCAATGCACAGCTTCCTGCGACCAAACCCTGAAAACAGGGAACTACACCCTAAAAATAATGCACCGGGTAGACTTTTTCCACGTCATTTGATCCCAATTTTTACACACGATTGACAACAGAAACCTGAGCAGAGCGGCCTCAGATCCCGCAGGGCTTCCTCAAAGGCTTTAAAAAAACACATACTAAAGATCTTCCTGTACTTACAAGGTCCAGGCGCTGGGATCGCCGGGGCTCCGGGATCGCGGCCCTGCGGCGGCGGAGGGAGGGAGGAACGAAGGGCCGTTAGCGAGCCCGGAGCGGCGGGGCCGGTGCGGGACCCCCGTGAGGCGGAGCGGGGACAGCGGGAACCGCCCGGCCCCAAAAACCCACGTGAGGGGAGGGACGGGACGGCCAAACCCCCCCACCGTGAGGGGAGGGACGGGACCCTCCTCCAAACCCCAACCGGTGAGGGGAGAGACCCCCCCAGAATCCCGCACCCGGTGAGGGACGGGACCCTCCCCCAAACCCGAAGCGTGAGGGGAGGGACGGGACGGGACCCCCAGTCCAGAGACCCCTCCATAAGGGACGGGACCCCAAACCCCCCTCCGGGAGGGATGGAACGCTCCAAGCGCCCGCTGAGGGGAGGAGCGGGACCCCTCAACAGCCTCCCCTCAGAGGGGTCGCCCCCACAGCCTTCCCTGGTGAGGGGAGGGACGGGACCCCTCAATGCCCTCCCCTCACAGGGGCCGCCCGCCTTCCCCAACCTTCCCTGGTGGCAGCCACAGCTGCCCCTGGATCCCTGGAAGTGTCCAAGGCCAGGCTGGGCAGGGCTTGGAGCAGCCTGGGACGCACTGGAAAGTGTCCCTGGGTGTGAAAAATGCGTATTTTATGATTGGCTTTTGGCAAATATTAACGTGAATATTATATGTGTTGTGTTAGAAAGCGATGCTGTATTAATTTTCTTAAGTAGCGTGTTAAATACAGTTTTAGGTTATAACATAATGTTAAAATAGAAACTCTGCTATGTAGAATACTTTTTTGTCTAAAGAAAAAATAGCAGCCACGGGACGCCTAAATCTTTCAGAGAAAGAGAATTTATTGCCCCATTATCAGAATAAACTAACTTCTTCCTGCTCAGCTCTGAAGACTGCATTCAGAGGAAGAAGTTGACAGTGACCAGACAGAATCCTGTGTTGGAATGGAATTCATGCACCATGTATGAGGTGTATGAACATGCAACAGGCTGTTGCTTTTAAGGGTTAATCCTCTCTTAACGTAGGTTCTTTTTTGGGCTTATTTTGCCCAGAAAGAGATACCTGGACTGTCTGTAACTCTTTGTTTTTATTGTCTCCTATTGTCCTAATCTCAATTGTTCCAATTTTTATTACTCTAATTACATTACTATTTTAATAACCACTTTATTACTACTAAACTTTTAAGATCTTTTCACACAACCCATCCCACGGCAATCTTTAGCTTTCCAAGGAAAACAGTGACCAGGGAGCCCACGCTCAGAGATTGGATGCTTTATTCACTGTCTCTACTTGGTTATCAACACCTGGCTGCCAGAACTGTCACCACCACACTGAAATAATCACTCAAACGCGCTCTGCAAACAGCAACAGACCCAAAATGCACCTCCCCAGGCTCGCCCCCAGGAGTGCATTTTTCCTGTCTTTAAATATGGAATAATAAGAGACAAACTCCAGTTCTGGTTTTTCTTGCAGGCCCCCTCCTTCCTCCTGCTGGAGATACTTTGTGTAATTGATTTGTCGAGTGTAATTCCCGTTTTCCTGGGGATCCTACAACTGTTGCTCAGCCTCTTCCCTGCTCTGCAGGCTCTGGGGGTGCGAGGGGTTTTAATCAGCATTTCATGTCGAAGGATAGAAAACAGTCTTTAAAACCCGGGCTGGGAAACAACGAGGTGGAGTTCAGGTCCCACGACACGACACCAGGACGGGGATGGACGCTGAGCACCCTGCAAGGCTCAGCCCTCAGGGTTAGAAAAAGGAGAGGGAAAAACTCCTGCCAAAAATGCAAAGGAAAAAGGGGAATTTCCCTGTGCTGCAGAGTCCCACGGGATCAGCGGCTTCCTTTCCCCCTGGGGCAGCTGCTTCCCCACAAAAGAGCAACTCAAATTCAAGAAGTGCAGCTCTAGCCAAGCCATGATTTTTTTCCCAATCAAACCCCTCTTGAACACCCCATTTCTCTCTGTTTTTGGCTCCCCAAACCCCACTGAGCTCTGGGGTGGATCCTGACTCGGAGCTATTTTGATTTCTCTTCGTGCTGGAGTTAAACCCAAAATTTATTTTTCCTCCCCCTGCTCTGACCTCACCCTCCTGACCCTGCTCTGTCTCCCTCAGGTCCATCACCGCTGCATCACCTTTGGCAAAACATCCAATTTTGGGGGTTTTTTTGCCCTTCCCACCCCAGCTGCTCAATCCTGCGCCCCCATCCTGGGGGAGTGAACCTCCTGTACAAATTTATTCCCTTCCAGGTGGGATTTTTACCCTGAACACACCCTGGCAGATCCCACCAGCTCTCTGCAATTCCCACATAGAATATGGCTTTTGCTGTCTGCTTACTTGCCCTCTATTAAAATCTGTAAATAGTCATCTTTTTTCCTGCCTTAAAAAAAAAAGAAAAATTCCTTTTCAAGTAGTTTGTCTGCCGATTTCATTAAAAAATAAAAATTAAGAAAGGTATAAGCTCACTGACCTCCCTCAGGGAACAGCAGTTACGTGGCAAAATCTCCCAATATTCAAATTCCTGTGTTAGAATTGTGTCAATCCTGACCTGGAACGCCAAGGGGAGGCTGGACCAGCATTCCCAGTCCGTGTGCACCCCACCACCACCAGCAGGGATCCACAGCAAAGCTGAAGGTGGGGAACACACCCAAAAAAACACAACCCAGGGCTCGGCTGCTGCCTGGGAATGACAAGGGAAGCACTGGCACGGGCTGTTCTCCAGAGAGGATCGAACATTTGGGGTCAAAGGCTCCTAAAACCCCTCCTAACACAGCAGCAACCCCACAGCTGGGTTGGTGACAGTGCTGGACATGCCACAGCTACGCCAGAAAAATTTAAAAAAAAACCCTTTAGGATTATTTACAAGAACCCCTTAAAGACAACTTGCTGCCTTTGCAGGGAAAGGTGGGAAAAATCCTCTTTGTGCCTGGTTTTTGGGGATTCTCCCAAGCCACAGCGGCCCGAACTGCTGCAGAGTGGGAAGAAAAGTCACCGCCTCGTCCCCTCAGCCGGCGGGCACAGACACAGGGACAGCGACCGGGGGCTGGCAGGACACGACACGAGGATGTCCCGAGCCCAGACCGGCTCTGGGGGATCTCGGGAGCGGCCAAGGCTGGGCGGTGTCACCGGGCCCGTTAACTGTCACAGCCAGCCCCTGGCACGGCCACCGGGGCCACGGTGGGGTGGTCACTCTGAAACACGGGGGGGTGGTCACTCTGGAACACGGGAGGGTGGTCACTCTGGAACACGGCGGGGTGGTCACTCTGGAACACGGCCACTGGGGCCACGGCAGGGTGGTCACTCGGGAATGCACTGAGGCCTGCGCTGAGGCCTGTGCTCCAACCTCCTGGAGCTCCAGCAGCCTCGGGGCTGGGATTGAGGGAATTTGGTGCCCAGCACACTCGGTGGGGGGAACCTTCCCCTAAATTCTATCCCAAAAATCCCCAAACTGTCCCTCGGGATCCAAGAGGCTGCTGGCAGCGTTCTGCCCTTCCAGGTGGCTGGGGACAGGTGTCCCCTCCCTGTGCTGTCCCCCAACAATCCCACCCCTAACTCCCGGAGCTCCGGCAGCCTCGGGGCCAGGATCGAGGGAATTTGGTGCCCAGCACCCTTGGGGGGAGGAACCTTTCCCTAAAATCCATCCCAAAAATCCCCTGGCACCGCTGCAAACTCCAAGATGGTGCTGGCAGCGTTCTGCCCTTCCCGGCCGTGGCTGGGGACAGTTGTCCCCTGGCTGTGCTGTCACACGTCCCCGACGGTGCCGGGGGTCCCCGCTGACCTTCAGTTTCCTCCTGGCGTTGAATTCCTGCAGTTTCCTCTGCGTGCTGTCCATGTGAGCGAATTTCGCCGCTTTCCCGGTGACCCAGGGGTGCTGCAGGGCCTGCTGAACCGTCAGCCTCTTCTGGGGATCCAAAACGATCAATTTTCTGACCTGAAAGCACCAAGTTTTGTCATTTCCAAGTAACTCGCGCTAAAAGAATAAATATTTATAATAAATATATAATATATATTATAATAAATCCTAGAATCGATCATAAGAATAAAGAATAAAGAAAGAAGCAAAATTAATCAGAAAATAAATCATAAAAAATAAGGAATAAATAAAGGAAATTAAAGAAAGCAAGAGTATGTCATAATAAATAAATAAATAATGAATTCACGTGGAAAAAGAAATCATTAATAGAAATGTGTGGGGAATAAATTAATTTAATTAGATAAATATATGTAGTAAATACGTGAAAATAAAATAATGAAATAAAAAAATGTGGTTAATAAATGAAAAGAAATAAACAAATGCAATAAATAGATAAAAATAAAATCATAAAATAAGTGAAACCAATAATGCAAATAATGATAAATAAATAAATGAAAATTTGTAATAAATAAATAAAAACTTACCATAAATACATAAACATATAATCATAAAGAATCAATCAATACTAAAATGTGATAAATAAATATAATTAAAAGAGTTAATAAATAAATGGATAAAATGAAATCATAAAATAAACAATCACCATGTTATAAATAAAGTAATTAATAAATAAAGGGATGAAAATGGAATCATAAACAAATATAAAATTCAATTTAAAAGAAAAGAAAATCAAGCATAAAATAAAATAAGAATTAAAAATAAAATAAAATAAATTAAAATAAATAAACATGACAGTTTCCCAGGCCCAGCTCTGCCTCACTCACCAGATCCTTGGCGTTGGGGGACACCTCGTCCCACCAGGGGGACACGAACTCGTAGTCACAGGTGAGGATGCGGCCGTACATGTACTGATCCCCCCGCGGGTCAAAGAAGGGCTCGAAGCCGCAGAGCCTGGGGGGACAGAGCCGTGGGACACGCTGCCACCAGCCCTGCCACCCCCCTGTCACTGTCACCTTCCCGAAAAATCCCTTCGCCAGGATTTCTTCTCCTGGGAAGCTGAGAAGCCTCAGAGAAAAAAATGAAACCAGTAATTATCTGATTGCTTCTGCTGCGTTTTGCTGCTTTGGAATGTTGTTTATCCGTTGTTTGATTAATTTCATGGAAATTGTTTTTATTTAATGACCGATCACAGCCAGCTGTGTCAGGAGTCTGGAGAAAGTTTTCATTCTCATTCTTGTTAAGCCTTCTGTCTGTATCCTTTCTCTATTCTTTAGTATAGTTTCAGTGTAGTATTTATTTATTTAATATAAAATAATAGAAAATAATATAAAATAATATAAAATTATAATATTAAAACAATATAAAATAATAATAGAAAATAATATAAAAATATTACAAAATTGTAATATTGAAACAATATAAAATAATAATAGAAAATAATATAATATATAATATGAAATAATTAATTAGCCTTCTAAAAACATAGACTCAATATACTCATTTCCTCCTTCGTCCTGGGGACCCTGGAAAATTCAACACCCCTGTGGCAGGGACAGAGGGGACAAAGCCACCCCGCTGTGTCCCCTGGCTGTGACACTCACAGGATGTAGGTGATGACACCCACGCTCCACATGTCCACCTCTGGTCCATAGGGACACCCGTGCAGGATTTCGGGGGCTGGAAGGAAAATTTGGGGGGTCAAACACACCCATGAGGGGGTTCCAGTGGAGAAAACCACCCCGGGCAGCTGCAGGTGGGGAGAAAAGGGAGAAATGGGGAGGAAAGGGGATAAATGGGGAGAAAAAGGGATAAATGGGGAGGAAAGGGGATAAATGAAATGTCCCCCCCTCCCTCTCACCCTAATTTTCCTTTCCCCTGAATGTCCCTCCCTCCCCAGTTTTCCTCTCCCCACAATGTCCCTCCCTCCCTCTCTACTTCCCAATTTTCCTCTCCCCAAAATGTCTCTCTCTCTCCCTCCCCAATTTTCCTCTTCCTAGATTGTCCCTCTTTCTCTCCCTCCCCTGTTTTCCTCTCCCCACAATGTCCCTCTCTCCCTCTACCCCAATTTTTGTCTCCCCACAATGTCTCTCTCTCCCTCCCCAATTTTCCTCTCCCCAGAACGCCTCTCCCTCCCTCTCTACTTCCCAATTTTCCTCTCCCAAAAATGTCCCTCTCACCCCAATTTTCCTCTCCCCAGGGGTCCCTCCCTCCCCGTTCCCCTCCGGCTCACCGCAGTACCCCGGTGTCCCACACACGGTTTTCATGGTGTCCTGCTCATCCACGATCTTGGAGAGCCCAAAGTCACCTTGCAGGGACACAAGGGGTGGCAGTGCCATCAGGGACAGGCACTGGGATCCCCTCCCGTGCCAGGACCCCCGGGCAGGTCCCCAACCCACCGATTTTGAGGGGGGCATCGGGGGACAGGTCGGCGTAGAGCAGGTTCTCCGGCTTCAGGTCCCGGTGCACGACCCCGTTCTGGTGCAAATACTGCAAAAAAGAGGAAAAGTGGGCTGTGAAAAGGAAGGGAACGGCCTCAGACAGAATTTGGGAGGTGGCAGCAGCGACCGGGGACCTGTCACAAACTTGGGACCAGCCACCACTGTGGTGGATCCGTTTCCAGTTGGGAGTTCCTGGTTTTTAAACCCTCCTGTTGCCATGGAAACTCTGGGATGCAGAGCGGCCCTGACCTTCCTCCTTCCTCTTCTTCATCCCCGCTAAGAGCAGATCCATCTTCTCCCAGTGGTGCCTTTGGAAGGCCAAGGGCGAGTGGACAAACAAGATGTTTGGGATGGGGGCAGCTCTGGGTGCCCCTCCCAGGGATATTTCTGCAGCCCCCCCAAGCCCCCCCTCACCGGGCTGTCCCCAGGGCCACGTTACCGAAACAGCCTCCAGGATCTGCTTGACCACGTGCGCCGCATCCCGCTCGCTGTAGAACCCCCTCTCCACGATCCTGTGGGCACACGGAGCCTTCAGCCCCCTCCATCCTCCTCCTCCTCGCAGGATCCACCCTCCAGATCCCATCTGTACCTGTCAAAGAGTTCTCCCCCCGTCACCAGCTCCAGCACCAGCGCGATCTCCGAGGGCGTCTCAAAAATCTCCTTCAGCTTGATCTGGAAAGGGTGACAGGAGGGATTTTGGGGTGTGGGGTGTGGGATGAGGGGTGTGGGGTGTGGGATATGAGATATGGGATGTGAGGTGCGGAATATGGGATGTGGGGGGTGGGATATGGGATATAAGATATGGGATATGAGATATGGGATGTGGGATATGGGATATGAGATATGGGATGTGAGGTGCGGAATATGGGATGTGGGGGGTGGGGTGTGAGATATGGGATGTGAGATGAGGGATGTGAGGTGTGGGATATGGGATGTGGGATATGAGATGTGAGGTGTGGAATATGGCACGTGGGGTGTGGGATGAGGAATGTGAAGTGTGGGAAAAAGGGATGTGGGATATGAGATATGGGATGTGAGATGTGGGGTGTGGGATATGGGATGTGGGGTGTGGGATGTGGGTTTTGGGTGCGTGGAATATGGGATATGGGATATGAGATATGGGATGTGATATATGGGATATGGGATGTGAAATATGGGATGTGAGGTGTGAGATATGAGATATGGGATGTGAGATATGGGGTGTGGGATACGAGATATGGGATCGGGGTGTGGAATATGGGATGTGAGATATGGGATATGGGACGTGGGGTGTGGGATATGGGATGTGAAGTGTGAGATGTGGGTTTTGGGTGCGTGGAATATGGGATATGGGATGTGAGATATGGGATGTGGGATACGAGATATGGGATATGAGATATGGGATGTGATATATGGGATATGGGATGTGAAATATGGGATGTGAGGTGTGAGATATGAGATATGGGATGTGAGATATGGGGTGTGGGATACGAGATATGGGATATGAGATATGGGATATGGGATATGGGATGTAGGATGTAGGATGAGGGATGTGGGATATGGGATATGGGATGCAGGAATGCATCCTGGCTGTGCTGGGAGGAGACTTTGGCCACCAGGGAGAGTGGAAAGGGTTATTCCAGGGCAAACATTTCCTTCCTCTGTTTGTTTGGTTTTTCCCCACTCTTGATTTGTTTTCACCTGAATTTTTTGAACTCTTTGCAGCAGCCCTGCTCACTTAACAGGGATTAAAGACGAATCTGGGAATGTGCAGAGCCCTGACCCTCTTCACATCTCCGAGCTTGTTTCTCAGAGGAGCTCCTTGAGAGCATTGGAATTTTGCAGCTCCATGGACACCTCGGAGCCTCCATCCAGCCCTGTGGTGTGGGAGTGACTCCAGCTGCATCCCACGGGATGGATCCTGATCCTGCACACCTGGGATGGGGTGAGGGAGAGCCAGACACACCCTGCAAGGTCACGGCCACTCTGGGGTCAAGGTTCTGGAAATGTCCCTTGGGCTGTTCTGCAGCAGAAGAGGCACCAAACCCGTGTTTTCCTCCTGACTTTTTGTGCTTTGGCTCCCACACGAGCCCTTTGTGCCTCCACAGCCCATCTAGAATTAACAATTCTCTCTCTTCAAGCGATGTCCAAATGCAATTTTTCCTTTTTTTTTTTTTTTTTACAAAAATGGAAACCCAAGAATTTCATGCTTCTTAAGACTTTTGTGACACTGCGAATTTCATGGGGCTTTAATCATTCCCTTCCCAGGCTGGGTGACAAGCCATGATCCCCTGCGGGGTGAGAGACACTATGTGGCAGCTTATTGCATTATAATAATACACGGAGCACTATAATTTTCCTATTAACTTCAAAAGTTTACAATCCTATTATCAGCTGCTGCCGAGGTCGGTGCCGCACGATAGCGGCGCCGGCGTCAATAATGGAGCAGAGCAGCTCCTCTTCAAACATCACTTGAACCTGGGATGAGCAGAACCCCACGGAAACCTCAGGGATTTAAATATTCCAACGGGCTGGATCCTCCTCTGTGGCTCTGAGGAGCTGCTGCCTGGAGAGGGGAGGGAGGAAATTGGATTTTCTGTGCTGTTCTTGATAACACATCAGAGAGGAGCCTCTTCCCATCCACCTGGGCTGCTCCAAGTGTGTGATTCCCATCCTGGCTCTCATCCCTGCATCTGCCCAGATGTCCTGGGATGGGGGAGATGTCTCCATGGAAGAGGCTGAAGCACCAAATTGCCCTGAAACACCCCAAAATGGGCCCAAGCCGAGCTGGCTGAGAGGTTTAGAGACAACCTGTCCCCAGTGCTTTGACCTCTTTATCTGTTTTCGGGATGTTTGGGATTTCTCTTGGCTTCATCTCTTGGAAGGAAAGTTCTGGGCTTCTCCAGAGAGCAAAGCTCTGAGGATGGGATGGGCTGGGAGCAGCCGTGCCCAGGGTTTGAGGGATGCTGCAGCCAAGGAAACGGCAAGAGAATGTCCCAGCGATGTCCTGACAATGTCCCAGTGATGTCCTGACAATGTCCCAGTGATGTCCCAACATGCTCCTGTTTGGATTGGGCTCAGGGCCTGTCCCAGCCCTCAGCCCCACAGCAGCTCCCAGGTGGCTTTTCCGTGTCATTTCCTTAACTCAGGTGTTCTCCATGATCCTTTTGCAGTTTCCCAGTGGAACCATGCAGTCGGGAATGAGCTTTTTTGGGACGTGGGGGGCACGGAGCCCCCCAGCCCCTGGCATTCCAGAGGGGCTGTGCTAGCCCTGGCTGGATTAGATCTGCTCCAGCCCCGCTCCTGTTATCCCTGGAGTGCTGAGCAGGCAGGACACAGCCCCAGCCCCACGGCCCTGGCCTCCCCTTTTATCTCTCCTGGCAGGATTCATTACAGACAGGCAATTTTCCGTGGGATTCATTTGATCTCCTCGATGGAAATTGCCTCCCTGGTGGAAATCTCAAGCCAGGCTGTGGGAAGGGGGAGGACAGGGGGGGGTCCTTAGCCTTGGATATCAGAGCTCAAAGGAGCTGCAAGGACCAGGAATTTCATGTGGCAGGGAGAGGGGAATCACCTGGATGCTGTCAGAGGGGCAGGGAGGGGACACGGGGGGCAGGAAGGGGACACGGGGGGCAGGAGGGGACACGGGGTGCAGGCAGGGTTTTCCATGGGGTGCTGCCTTCATCCCTGCACCAAGACAGGGTGAGGACAAGGACATTCCAGCCCTTCCCTCAGCACCAGGCTGAGTTAAGGGCAAACCCACCCCCAGCAGCCGTGGACCCGACCCAAAGGGAGGTGGCAGCTGTGTCACCAGGGTCCTACTCACGATGTTGGGGTGCGAGAGCCGCAGCAGGACCCCGATCTCCGTCCTCACGATCTTTTTGTCGATCTGGGAAGCAGAGCCCGTGCAGAGCTCGTGTCACCTGTGCTGCCACGCCTGCCTCTGGCTCCCCACCACGCAGAGACCCCCACATCACACCCAGCACAATTCCATGTCTGTCCCAGAGCTCTCCCCCGCCCCAAATCCCAGCGCTTTTGTCCATGTGGGACCCCCAGATTTTGGGAGCGATGCCCGGTGCCAGCCCCTCACCCATCCTGGTGCCAAGGGGCAGGGGAGGAGAGACCACCAGCCCTCCCCCCAGCTCCCTGCTGCTCCCCCTGCCCATCCCCAGCCCCACTCACCGTTTTCTTCAGGATCTTGGCAGCGTAGGGAGCTCCCGTGCCCTTCTCCTGGCAGCTGAACACCACCGAGGTGGCTCCCCTGGAGGGCAGGGGGGACGTGAGGCTGGCACAGAGCTGGGGGTCCCGCTCCCCCTGTGCCCCCCACCAGCACCTTTGGCAGTGCCAGGCCCTGGGAGCTCAGCGTGGATCCCACTCTTCATGGATCCTGCTCTCCATGGACCTCCCTCCTCCAGCATCCCCCCATTCCTGAATTCTCCTCCTGTACCCCTCCCCTTCCTGCACCCCCTCCCGCGTCCTTCCCGGCTTTCCCGGCTGAGGCTGTTTTAATTAAACCCGAGTTCTACAGGGGGTTTAAACCCTTAAGCGGCTTTCACGACGGGACGGAGCCGCCGTGTCCCCGCTCGCAGCGACAGCGACAGCCGGGGACAGCGACAGCGACACCTCCGGGGCCCCATCCCCGCCAGGTGAAACCGCCGCGGGTGACACGGGGACCCCGCGGCCGAGGGCGATCTCAGCTCCAGTTAATCGCGTTTCCTGAGCGCTGGACGGTGAAATCAGCCCAGCGCCCCCGGCCGTTCCGGGGCCCATTTGCAATTCCGTCTCCCTGCCCGGCAGATTAATTCCTGCCCCCGAGCAATCGGCCAAGTTTTACCCGCTTTGGCTCCGCCGCCTTCTGGGACGGAGCTCAGGCTGTGCCTGGAGCTGCCCGGCAAGATCAGATCCCCAAAACCACCGACTTTCACACCGAAACCTCCCCTGAGCCCACCAACACCCCGGCAGGGAGCCCCGGGGGCTCTCCTGGAAGAGGGATTTGTCTTCAAACCCAGAGGAGATTTTGCAACTCATCCGGCTGAAGTTGGGAACGGCGTTCCCATGGCAACGGCAGCGCCGGGTACCAGCGTGGTCCGGGATGCTGCGGGATCCACGAGCCCCAGCCCCGCCCAGATCCAAAACATTTCCTCCCTTTTGCCAAACATTCTCCACGAAACTTCAGTTTACAGATAAAAAGCGATTTGGAAACGAATTGTTACAGCTGGGAGGGGAAGGGCGGCCACCACCTGCTCCAGCTCAGGAAAAAGGGCAAAAAGCTGCAATTTGACCCCAAAATGGCATCGCTGCCGCTGCGACCGCCACAACAGCGCCCTTCCAGTGGGAGAAGCCACGAGACTATAGCTGGAATTTCCCAGCTGGGCTGGTCACGGGGCAGGACCCTCCACCCCCTGTCCACAGCTGAATCCCAGCCGGGATCTGTCGCCTCTCACCCTCCCTCTACATTTTTCCGCACGGACAATTCCCAGCCTGATTCCCGCCGCTAACGAGATCATTTAGGAGCGCTCGGCTCGGCGTTTAGGAGGACTCGGGGTGGCTCCTGTGCCCGCTGTGCCCGTGGCGCTGCCCCTCACGCGTCCCCAATTAGGGCAGCGCTGCCGGAATTCGCCACGCCTCGGCCCCCGGCCCCCGCAGCCGCCGCTCAAGGCCTCAAATAAATATCCCCAATCAGCCTTGCCTGCGACGGGAGATAATTGCATTTGCTTTCCAGATGAACTGGAAAATGTCGAACGATGGGGTTTGCTGAGAGCCTGGAATGTGTGGCCGGTGTGAGAGCCGGGAGCAGCCCCAGGCTGGGTCCTCCCCGCTGTCCCCTCATCCCTACACGGTTCCCTCCATCCCTCTCCTGCTCCCCGGGGATTCCCAGCCGGAGCTGGGTCCAGACTTGCCAGGAGAGGCTCTAAGGGAGAGCTGTGCATGGGGAGTGGGCTCCCAGCAGCCCAAATCCCACCCAGATCCCAACGCGCCGTGAGCGGGTGGCTCCGGGACTGAAACCAGTTTGATTTAAGTCTGGTGCTGAAACTGGATGGATGGATGGATGGATGGATGGATGGATGGATGGATGGATTCCAGGGGCTCCAGGCCTGTCCTCCTGTCCTACATCCCTCTGTGCAGGGCTGGGTGCTGCCAAACCCTGGGCTGATGTGACCACACCTTGATACAAACCCTTAAATTCCTGCTTTCACCAAAACTGCTGCTTTGCAGGATTCTCTGAGGATGGAAACCCGGAGGCAGCTGGGGCTGGTCCAGCCTGAACCACCAAATCCCCCTGTTCAGAGCCAGGGTTCCGAGGCAGAGCTGCCTCCCCCCCTGGCACAGCCCAGAGCCCCCACAAACGGGATCATCAGCCTTGCCAGCACGGCCTCCTGGCACCCCCTGGCACCCCCTGCCCGAGGGGCACCGGGATCACAGCCCTCAGATCGGCTCTCCAAGCCAAATCCAGAGCTGGGAATTCAGGCTCTGCAGAGGCTGGCACTGCCTGGCCTTTGCAGGGGGCTGCTGCAGGCAGGACCCTCATCACCCACCCCCAAAGCCTTGGGGTGCTCAGAAGAGAGATGAGTCTCCCCATGATGCCGTGGAATGAGGAATATCCATCTCCACAGCCCCAGGGACCCCCGTTCCAACCTGCAAACCCCCAGCCCCGAGTGCCCAGATGGCTCGGGAAAAACCAGCGCTCGGGATTATCGAGCGCCATGGAACCACAAATCCCCTTCCCACCCGGCACGCACGATGCTTTTTCCGAGATAATTCCCCCCGCTGTGGGATGTTTCCCCCCCTCCCGGCTTTTTCAGCCCCAGGGACCCCCGTTCCAACCTGCAAACCCCCAGTGAGCGCTGCCAGACCCTGGCTGCAGCATCACAGCACAGGCCAAGCGCCAGAGGGGAGGGTCTGTCACCATCCATCCCCTCATCCATCCTTCCACAGCCCTTCTGCATCCATCCTTCTCTCCTGCTTGTCCACCCCTTCCTGCATCCCTCCATTCTTCCATCCCTCCTCATCCATTCCTCCCACATCCATCCATCCCTTTTGTATCTGTCCCTCCCTTCCTGCATCCTTTCCTGCACCCCTTCACCCCCCATTCCCCTTCATCCCCCTCCCCCAAATCCCTCCACCTCCCCAATCCATCCCCTCTGTATTCCTCACCTCTCCCCACATCCCTCCATCCCTCCCTGCTTCCCTCCATCCCTCCTGCCTCCCTCCAACCCTCTCCCCACCCTGCCCCAACCAGGACCCGCTCCCAACTCCCGGGGGGCTCCTGCCCCTCCCAGCCCCTCCCTGTTCGCTCTCCCCGCCCGGTACCGTCCCAGCTCGGGGCCCACGATGTAGAAATCTTCCAGTGCCGCCTCCCGGTGGGATCCATCGATCCAGAAGTCGCTCTCGCTCTTGGAGGACGGCATGGTGGGCTGGGGGCTGCGAGCTGCCTCCAGCTGCTGGCAGGGGGAGACCCCGGCATGGATCGCCGCAGCCCCCCCGCCTTCCACCCCCCTCCCCCTTTTCCCACCCCATTCCCACCTGTCTGGGGTCCCCCCCGGCTTTGCAGAGTGGGCAGGCCGGGCACCCACGGACTGCTTTGCACCCCGATTATTCCTGCAGCCTCCCCCAACCCCCCCAGTCCTCCACACGCCCCCGGTAATTTTGGGGTGGGGTCGCGGCCCGGCACGTACCGTTACCTGCGGCGCCGCTCGCGTCCCCCCCGGCGCTGCCTCATCCCCGGCCGTGCCGAGGGTGGGCACGGGGGGTCCCGAGCCCGCGGGGCCGGTGCTGAGCCTACCCGCGGCCCCCCGGGCACCCCCGCTGCTCCCCAAAACGGGGCGTCACGGCTCAGCTGCTCGGGGGGCTCCACGGGGCTGGGAGGATGCAGGGATGGGAAGATGGAGGGACGCAGGGACACGGGGGTGGGAGGAGGACTCGGGAATGGAGCGCTGCAGGGACGGGAGGACGCCGGGCAGCACGGATGCAGCTGCCAGGATGGCGGGATGGGAGGATGCAGGGATGGGGGATACCGGGCAGCACCGGGAGGCGGGGATGAGAGGCTGCCGGGCCGCCGGGAAGCGGGAGCGCAGTGCTGCAGGGAGAGAGGAAGGTGGGGATGCGGGGCACCGGGACCCTCCCCGGCAGCATCACCGGCTCCGCCGCGCTCCCGCCTGGCTCGGCCGTGCCACCCCCCGGCCCGGCGCCGCCACTGCACCCCCCCGCCGCCCCCCGCTCCCCCGGGGCTACGCGCGGTGCTCGGGGAGTCCGGGCGGCCCCGACCCCGCGCCCGGCACCGGCAGGAGGCGGCCCCGCGGCGGGGGCACCGCGGCCGCTCCCCGGGAGCACCCGGAACCCCCCGGGTGCCGCGCCCCCCGTCCCGCCCCGCAGCCCGGGAACACCCGCACCCACCGGGGCCGGGCTGTGCCCCGCCGAGCGGCCGGAGCCCCCCGGTGCCGGGGGTCGCGGAGCGGCGGGGGCGCGGGCGCTGCCCGGAGCTGCCGCACGGTGACGCCGTCGCCCACCGGATGGGAACGGGGGGAGCGGGGGGGAGATGGGAGCGTGGGAGAGGATGGGGATGGGCTGAGATTGGGATTGGAGAGGGATTGAGTTACGGGCCTGGAGGGGGAATGGGCGGGGGATGGGGGGAATGGCGGTGGGAATGGCACTGGGAATGGTGGGAATGGCACTGGGAATGGTGGGAATAGCACTGGGAATGGCACTGGGAATGGCACTGGGAATGGCACTGGGAATGGTGGGAATGGCACTGGGAATGGGCTTGGAATGGCACTGGGAATGGTGGGAATAGCACTGGGAATTGCACTGGGAATGGTGGGAATGACACTGGGAATGGCACTGGGAATGGTGGGGCTGGGCTGGAGGAGGGGGATGAGCAGTGGAGGTGGAGGTGAGACGGGACCAGGCATTGGTGGGTTTAGGGTGGGATTGGGATTGGGGTGGGGCCTGGAACAGGGAATGGAGATGGGATGAGATAGGGCAGGGCTGGGACTGGGAATGGGATGGGAGTGAGGATGGGTTGGGTTGGGACGGGGCCAGGGATGAGATGGGAACGGGGATGGGATGGGAGTGGGGATAGGGCTGGGGTGAAACGTGGTTTAGGACTGGGGCCAGGAGCAGAATCAGAATGGACACGGGATAGAGAAGGAGATGGGATGGGGCCAGGGATGGGACTGGGCTGGGACTGTGGGTGGTGTTTGCATGGGGCCAGGGATGGGATGGGAGTGGGGATGGGATGGGAATGGGGATGGAATAGGCCCAGGAATGGGGTGGGAGTGAAGATAGGGCTGGGGTTTGTCTGGGAAAAGGATAGGAATGAGGCTGGAACGGGGCCAGGAACAGAGTGGGAGTGGGGATAGGGTTGGGGTGCTGTTGTCCCTGTGCCTGGGGCCACCCACGCTGTCAGGGAGCCCGTGGGGTGTTGTGTTCCCCATAGCAAGAGGAGCAGGAAATCCCTCCTGAGCATCCAAGGCAAGGAAACTGCAGATTTTTATGTTTTTCTATTAAGAATTGGAAATAGGGAGAGCATCCCATAGGACAGTGACTCTCCAGTGAGATGAGGGGTAGACAGGCCCTGAGGATGCTTCAGGACCCCCCAAATCCCTCAGCACAAAGAAGAGACCCCCCAAAAGGCCCCGCCACGAAGGTCTCACCAGCACAAAACATTCTCCTTGTCATGGGCTCCCCGAGTATTTATTAGAATATTTTATCATATCTGAGGGAGGCAAACTCAGCCCTGCTTGATCTCCTCCAGTTGCAACTCCCTTTTGAAAGGGATGTTCGTACAGGGAGTGACCTGCTCCATGAATAAATTGACTCTGCCTCCGTCTCTCCCTGTCCTGGAATGTTGTGGAGACAAGGGTGGGCTGGAGAGGCTGCTTTGCATAATTAATATTTATCACTCCATCCCGAACAAGCACAATCCCCCCCCGTTCATCCCCAAAGAGTGGGGGGCTGTGTTGGCAGAGGGGAGGCAGCTCTTTCCCTTTGGAAATCTCATCACTGGGCTCCTAACGAGGGGTCCAACCCCCCCTGGCACCCAGGGACACCCATGGGTGGGCACGGGATGGAGCACGGGATGGGGCACGGCGCTGGATCAGCCTGGACAGCAGGAAATGGGGATGGGAATGGGGCAGCCCCCGACCCCTGCACACCCCAGCACCCCAAAATCCCTGTTGAGGTGGTGGGTGCCCTTTGCAGCATCTGTCCCCTGCCAGGACACATTCCCAAGGTGCAGATCCAGCTGCTGGCAGCGGGAATTGTCCCATTCCCTGCCGGGTTTGTGGGACGCTGGGGTTGGATCTGCGCCTCCAGCCTTTTGTCTGCGGGAGAGGAATTAATTATTTTGTTCTCTCATTACCCTGGACTAAAAATCCATTTCTGAGCAGCATAAATTTAGGTGCCTGAAGTGGCTATTTTAACATCCCGGGAAACATTTCTCTCCCTCTCTCGCCCTTTTCCCAATCATTTCTGTCTCATTGGCAGCCATCGATGTTCCGGATGAAGCACAAGATGGAGGGACATTATCCAAACCCGGCAAACGGCCCTTCCTGGGTGGAAAATTGGATGGCCAGGCTGAAGCGGGGTCCCCACGGTCCCCCCCAACCCCCCAAACCCCCCTGCTGGGGGTCTGGGACAAATCCCAGCGCGGGCAGAGCGGAGTCTGAGAACGGCCCCGCGAGGGACCGGCTGCCGCCGTGTGCTGCTCAATTGTTTGGAACATAAAATGGAAATTAATACACGGGGTGACCCCCCCCGGCATCCCCCCTTCCCCCCAGCGCCGCTCGCCTCGTTAATTGAACGGCGCGAAGCAAATGAGGTCAGAGCTCACTTGAGCCAGACAAGGACACGGGAACACGCGCGGCTGCCGGCGAGGCAGGGCTGTACCTGCCCGTGTTTAGCATTCCTGCCGGGATCCGCTCATTAAAAACCTAAAAGGCGGCTTAAGCATCCCATTAGAGCCTCGCCGGGCTCTGGAGCCTTCCCTCGCAGTCACGTTTGCGGGGAGAGCGGCGTGGCAGCCGGGCACGGGGAGGGGGTTTGCGGCTCCTGCCCCGTCGCCGGCTCTTCGGGGGGCTTTGGGGGACTTTTCTTTGGGGAACTCTTCTGGGGGTCCCTGGAGATCCCAGGGGTGAAAGACGAGGGAGAGATGCTGAGGGTGAGAGGGGTGGGAGAGGTGCTGGAGGCCGGGATGCTGCTGGAGCATCCCAAAACTGGGTCAGGCTCCTGCTGCTGGGGACGCCCAGGGCCCCCCTGCCCCATCATCCCCTCTCTTTCCAAGGAGATCCCCTCAGCCAGGCTCCCACACCGTGCCTCAGTTTCCCCAGCTCTGGCAGGGCCTTGGCTGTGGGTGCTGACCCTTCCCATTTTCCAGGTGTCCCCAGGGATGTTCCCAGCACCGATTCCTGCTCTGGGGTCATTCCATGCAGGTGCTGCTCCAGCCCTCCGTGGCCGTGGATCACCAGGATTTTGGGAAGTGGCACACGAGGATCCTGTGGGACCCCTCCCAGTCTCCCCTCAGCCAGGACAACCCAAGGGGCTCCGTGCCAGGGCTGCGGGCACTGATCCCATGGGAGGCTCCGTTCCTGTGGCACCGGATGCTGCCACTGCTCCAGGGGACGGCTGGGGACACCACTCCTTGTGTCCCTTCCCAAACAGGACCCCAGCAAGTGGCAAGCACCCCGAGCCACCCCGGGGCTGCTCAGCGCCCCAGCCAGGAGCACCCAAACTTCAGGGCCTCTCTCAGGTGGCACCTGAGAGCCACCTTGTGCCACCTCCTCGGGGCTTTGGCTTCTCCATCCTCATCCCAAGAAGCCAACGCAGAGCCCACCCAGCATCTCCTCTTTCCAGAGGAAGCTCAGGCATCCAGCATTCCCTCTTTCCCAGCATCTCCCTGCATCCTCCTCCACTTCCTCCCTCTTCCCTTTCTCCCTCTATTTTTTTTAATTTTTTTTTTTTAAGACAAGAAATGAGTTGTCTTCCCGCAGATGTGACTAAAAGCACTCTGGAAATGTCAGCCACTGCTGGAAAGGGACCCAGATAACATTTAGCTTTAGGTAAGAGAGTAGATTTTCTCTGCACTAATTCATATTTATAAGCTCTCGTGTTCCCGGGGAGAGCGCGGCGCTGATGGCACTCGCTGATTGCCAGCGCGCGGAGCAGGGAATTGTTTTCATATCCGAGATTAAAGAGTGGTTTCTGCTCCCAGTGGCACCTGTGTATTTACACTGGTCATTCTCAATTCATTCTTATAAGATTAAGACTGGAAATGGGAAATGGTTATAAAGTGCTGAGCCCGGAGGGGTCGGGGGACGTGACGGGGACGGGGCAGAGCCCGGACCCTGCACCGGGAGCAGCTCGGTCCGAGGAGGGGCACGGGAGCTCTGCTCTCCCTGGGTGGGAAAAGTCC